TGAGCCATAGAATCATAGAATCATAGACTGGTTTGGGTTGGAAAGGACCTAAAGATCATCCAGTTCCAAGCCTCCTGCCATGGGCAGGGATGCCTCACACTGGACCATGTCACCCAAGGCTCTGTCCTGGCCTTGATATGATGGCCAGAGCCACACATGGTACTCCAAATGTGGACACATCAGGGTTTTAACTAGCTCCCTTTGTGCTGTATGTGTATGGAGACTTGGGTAGGGGAACAAAATTGAAGCCAATGGTCCCTGTGTACCAGTAATGGTCTGCTGGGTATACATTAGGGTTTACACCAGTACACTGATAACCGGACTAGGATTATAAGTACATAATCACAGAGGAAAAAATGGAACTGGCATGTATCAGAGCTCCAAACTCTCAAAAGGGTTGAGAAACACATCCAGCTCCAGGTTAAACACGAGTGCAGTTTACAGGTTTGGTTTTAGAGACCTGGAATATGCGGTGCGAAGAAGAATGAGCCAGCCTGGAGAAACCACTTCTAATTGGAGCTTTGCAAGTGTTTGGAGTTTCCATGCTCTGGCAGCTGAGGGATGTTGTTCCCCCTCTCTTTTGGGTTAACCCAAAGTGAATTTCCTGTGCGACCGAAAGGAAAAACCAAGTGAAAGTTTGGAAAGCAAATCTTTGGAAGAGCATTTCGCTTCTCCGTCCAATCAAAATCAAGCTTCGAATGGCACATGATCTGTGATCAGAAGGAAAGTGTAAGACCTTCATATCACAAACCAAGTATCTTCATTCTTTAAATGTCTCTTCTGCTGAAAGTAACCACCTGGAATCGCCGTGAAGCCCTGTGGTTGATGAGAATTCCCCATTGCTCCATCTCTTTGCCTCCTACCAGCGCACAGGTCTTCTTTAAAATGGCACTTGTGAAGTGTGACCTGGTTTTAACCTTTTTAGAAAGGAAAAAAAGAAACCCCAGCAATGCTATCCCCCTTCCCAGTAGTCAACTTTCTCTGGCAAAGCCGAGTGGTATTTTAACACTTGGGTCCCTTTGACAGTGCCAGCCTCTGGGCGGTTGTGCGCTGACAGCCTCTATTGTGTCTGTCCAGGGTAATTAAGAATTTGATCCAGAGCTTTTAAACTCCTTGGACTGACAGATACTCTCTGAAGTAAGGCACTGTCAGTGCTCTTTGGAGGGAAGACAGGGGTGCTAAAAGGTTTCTGTCCCAGGCCATAGGGCACCAGGACACCTGGGTCCATTCTGAGTGGATTTGGAGGCTGCTATTTAGCCATCTCCTCAGCAATTGGGGCTATTTGAGGAATTGGGGTCAATTATAACCAGCCTTCTCCTGTCTTGCTTCCACAGAGAACCGGAGCCAGATGGCAACCTGAAGGGCTGGCCTCTCCCATTCCCACTGGACAGATGAACTTGGAGCTTGCAGTGTTACAAACCACCATTCAACGCGAGTTTAAATACAATGATAGAGGCAGAATGAGAGAAAAAAAAAGGTCCCAAGTCTATCTGCTTAATAGCTTATGCAGCAATAATCTCAGTGGATGCTAAGAGCCTGACCCCAGGCATCCCAAAATCCCCTCTTGGTTGTTTCTGCCCAAATTACCAGGCTGGTAAATACATTTCAGTGATTTCAGGCTGGAATTTCATGACCACTTTGAGATTAAATCTGCTTTAAAGCTGGACACGTCCAGCCTGCAGCGGCTCAAAAGGGTTTTCCAGGTCTACAAGTGGATTTAAGGGTTTGCGTACGGGAGTTAGGCTCTGAAATGCCATTTCTGCTCTGGAGTGGAGTTAGAATGCATGCCCTCCTTTTGATCCAAAGCCATTGAGGAGGCAGAACTGCTGGTGATCCTCCAGCTGGTAAGAAAAGCAGGGCTGGTCTAGCTGTCTGTCCTCTTCTTCAGCTCTTTCCACGTATACATCACCCCAATAATTTCTTCCCGCTGCCAGGGTCTTAGTCTTTAGTGTCCCCTGTTCTTTCTCATGGGGTTGATGGGTGCAGTGCAACCCCAGTGCACCAGAGGCATCAGGTTTGTGCTGGTAATTTCAGAAGAGCCCAAATTTCACCTGGGTGTCTGATTTTCTCCTGCCCTCTTGTGTTGTCATTGCACCCTTTGCAAATACACTTAACCAGAGCAACGTTGTTTGGCACCTTCTGCCTTCTTTTCCCCTGCTGCCAAAAGTGCCATAAGATGCAGTGTGGCCTTACCTTTAGCCCAGACTCATCAGCTCTTGGATTTGCAAGTATGATTCAGCAGCAGGTCCCGCATTCACTGTGTCCTTCCAGGGTGATGCGCACAGCAAACAAGCACCCAGAGAGGCTGTCACCAGGAGCAGTTTTTGGTTAAAGAATGTGAGATGTTCTTTACAGCTTGCAAGACGTGTCAGTTCTGAGGAAATGGTCTTTCCTGCCTCTCCATGTAAGGCAGCTTCTCCATGCCCTTGGTCATGTTGCTTGCCCTTCTCTGGACCTTCTCTAAGTCCACGTCTTGAGACATGATAACCAGAACCACACGTGGCTCTCCAAATGCGGGCCCATCAAGGTTTAATAGAGCAGCAAAACACACTCTGGGTTATCCTCAATGCTACCTGCCTGCTGATACCCAGTTCTGGTGCTTTTTTGGCTGCCACCCTACATTGACATTTGCCAACGATGACTTCAAGATGACTCTCTTCTCTGAGCTGTATCGACCAGTTCTGACTGCAGCACTGTGTCAGCATGGTTTAGATTACTTTTTCCTAGATAGGAAATTAGTCCTCCTTGTACTTAGATAATTTGCCTGATTTTTACCCACTTATGGAGTTTTCTGAGTCCCTTCTGGAGCTCCTCACTATTAGGGCAGTGCTTAAAAAAGCACCTAGTGTCATTCTCAGACTCTCTTAGAATGAAGCATTTTGTTGGGCAAGAAGCCCTTTCCCTTTTTATTCCATTCTGTTGGACATTCTAAAGGTTTTTTGCCTTCATTCCATTTAGGAAATCTATTTCTTCAGTTTTCGTTTCACTGTTTTCCATTAAATCAGAAAGAAAAGAGTTGTTTGACTGCACTCCTGTAATACCAGGTCTTGACATGATTCAACAGAAACACATTTGGAGGTGAAATTTTGTGTTGGAATGTTTCCATTTTTCTTGTCACGTCCACATTGATCTGCAACGGGGAGCAGGGGCATGAAAGGGAAGAGCCCGTGCTCTTTGGGTTGTTTCCCAGCAAATGGTTTAATTTAGGAGCACAAAGCCAGCCTTGCTTCCCTTGACAGTGTCCAGACCTCACCAGGAATCACAGGTGTAGTTAAAAAGTAATTGGATAAAACTACTCTATAGTCCCCAGGAGTCCCTTTGGCAAAGTGTTTCCTATGGACATGAATGAACCGAGCTCTGAGGAGCGAAGGGAGCCGGGAGGAATGAGCATTTCTGTGTTAGCTGCGAAAGCCGGAACCAGCAATTTCAGCTGATTCTCTCCATCTGTCCGGGGTGCAGCCCTGAGATAGAATAAAGGTAGGAATTTGGTCCTGTGTTGGAGGGGGGGTCACAGCGCTCAGAGTGGTGAAAGCCTTTGGTGCGAGACCAAGTACATCAGATTTCCCCATCTGTGATGGGGTTAAAGCAGAGGACACTGCATGGGCAGAGCCGTAGAATCAACCAGGTTGGAAAAGACCTTGAAGACCATCAAGTCCAGCCGTTACCCCAGCAGTCCAGCACTAAACCACGGCACTAACCCAGCTCCTTACAGGGGGTCCTGCAGCGCTTCTTGAGCAGAAGATGCGTGAGGGAAGTCACGTATTAAAGGCTCAAGTCTTCTCTGGGACGGCTTTTCTTCAGCCCTGACCTCAAACCTCTGGGGCAGCCCTAGAGTTGTTCCTGCCTGGGATCGCAGTAGTCCAGGTCTCCCCATCTTCATTTCCTAGAACCCCCCTGAATCCGCAGACAGCCTTTAGCACTTTGAGGGGCTACTGCTTCCTTAATTCCCTGGTGGATGGAGGCAGAGCAAACAAGCCTGATGGGATCATAAGAGCCTAGCTTCCCGCAAGCTCCCGTACCAGACACATCCTTACGTGGCTGATACAGGGCCAGGGTTCAGCATCGTCCTGGCCAGACCCACACTGCATGATCCAGGACTGGAGCAGGTAGGGTTCCTTGCTGGTGGCAAGCTCAGGCAGCTTGGATTAGGGAAACCTGTCGAATCGCCTTGGAAGCATGGAGGGGGTTCTATTGTGTGTGTGAGGACATAAATGTGCTCACATCTATTGTGTATGTGAGGTCCTATAAATGGCAGGGACTGGTTATTTGAACACTGAATTTTCCTTTTGAGGTTCATGAGTTTGTTCTGCGCCAAGTGATGGGAGCTTGGTCCAAGGGAACAGAGAGGGTTGGGAAGTTGCTGGCGTCCTTAAAACCTCTTTATTCCTCCTGTGACCACCAAGCATGAAGAAACCCACCTACAAACACATTCACCTCATATAGAAAGCCTGCTGTCAGGACCCTAAGTGCACTAATAGACCTTAACGACCCTGGGTAGCCTCACCTGGGGTCTCCACCTTCTGCCCATATAGGCTGAGGAGCTCCATTTAAACCCAGTCCCTGGGCTTGCAGTTTTCCTCTGGGTTATGTTGCAGGTGTCTGTGGCTCTGGCTTTGTCTATTGGATGGCTCTGGGACCTGTGCTGGAGGTAGCCTTTCTTCTAGATGAACCTCTCAGTTGTACCTTGTGGGTTGGTCTTTATCTCCTGCTGCTCCTGGTTGGACCTGGGACCTGACTGATTGCTTTGCCATTTCCAGGGTTGCTGATGGATCCTCCTGCGGTCACCCTCAGCCTTGGCTTGAGCTTATTGCTGGAGCAGCCCTGCTTTTGGTCCTCCCTAGCATTCTCTCTGTGATAAATGATGCTCAGTAACAAGGAGGACTAATGCCACTGGAGCTGGTGGAGTGATACTGCATCATGTTAAAGAGCTTGGCACTGTTGTTATGGAAGCAGTTGCAAAGATCTGAGCAAACTAGTGCTCTGTGGATGAGATGTGAGTTTCTGTAAAGATGCTTCTGCTGGTTTTGGGGGCAGACAAAGAAGAAACCACTTCTGGGGTTGAAGCAGTTATGAAAAAGCTAGTTTGGAGGACCAAATAGGGTAGATTAGGACAGCCTTTTCTGTTCTGACTCTCAATGTGTTATAAGCTTAACTAGAAAATACAAAAGGCATGAAGAAGAAATATACTCTGGACTTCTGCTCCTCATCTGTGTAAATCCACCTCTTCTTCCACCGGGTGTAGGTAAGATGCTCCTGACCTGGAACTGAATGTGTATGGGATGTTTCCTACATGTGCAAGTGCCTGTGGATCTTGACCTTACCCTGCCAAGTTCTGCAGGAGTCCTTCTCCTGGCTCTAGCAGTACCAACTGCTGCTCTTCCCTCTGCTGGACCCTGTTTTGAGCTTGGGCAAGTGGCACTGGAGCAGCAGCTCTCGCACTGTTCTCCTTCCAGCTCCTCTTTGCAAACGGTGCCAGAAACGCTTTTACTAAGCAAAAGCAAGGACTGATGTCATCCCAAGTCTCTCCGAGCCAGGGAACTGAGCAAAGGCCTAGAGTGCCTATATCTTAATCCAACTGTGGTTGTTCCTGCTTTCAAGCCCTTATTACCTGCATAATTCTGCGCTAGGATATTGCTCAGACATCTAAGGAGATGCAAGCTGGCAATTTCAATCCGCTCCTAAACATCTCCAGCAAAACACCCGGAGCCGGTGCCAAGCCCTTGGCTCCTGGCTCCTTAACCTGTTTCTACTAAGTAAGGAGATTTCCAGGGCGAGTCTGACTTGGCCCTGCAGGAGGCATCTTTTCTCCTGCCAAGGCTTAGGTTGGAGCGAGCATCTCCGGAGCTGTCACTCAGGGAGCAGGAATGCAGGCGAGGCTGCCCTGTGGTTAGAAGGACTCCACCCCAGAGACAGTGGTAGGCACCCAGGTACCAACACCGGAGACTTGGGGCGCATCCATGGTGGTTGATGACAGGCACTGATCTGGTTCTTAACCCTTTGCCTGCCTGCTTTTGGCTTTCTCCTTTCTGGCTGTAACAGCATCCAGGCGGTGCTGGTATCATGTATTTGCCCTGTGCTGGGGTGCTGGCTGGTATGGGAGCAGCTGTTGGATGGGGTATGCTTAATGGGAAGCCAGTGATAAGTAGGGATCCAGTCCTCCCTTTTCTGTTTCCTGGGTCCAGGGGATGTTTCCCAGATGGAGATTTGGGTTTAGGGGAAGGGGTTGTGCTATATTTGTCCCAGAATGCTAGACAACAGTAGCGTGCTACAGCATCAGTCTGTGCTTTATTGTTTCCTCAACATTCGGGTTTCGTGTTGATTGTTCAGCTGAGGTCTCCCTGGAAGGCTTGGAACCAAAACACGGATGGTTAACCTTGGAGCTCTGTATTTTAATGGCATTGGTTGCCCATCAAATGGGCAAACCCAATGTGTGCCTTCCTCCTGGCTGAGCGTCCTTGCCCAGGAGTTTTGGAAAGTCTGACCAAGCAGATGCTTCCCTAGCGCTGAGTTTCAGTTGCACCTTCCTTGTGATGACAGCATCCCACTGGTACCCAGAGGAAACCTGTTGCTGGGCAAGGCTGAGGCTGGAGGGCTGCCAGGGTGCAGCTCCAGACACTGGGGATGACTCCCACTTCAACGCCAGGGTCTGAAGCTGGTGTGAGCCTGTGTGTTGCTCCTGTCACTAAACCTCAGCTCGACATCTCTAAAACAGGGATGGCTTTTGCCTGTCCTCCTTAGATGCAAAGCTGTAGCCAATGTCATAACACAGCAAGTCCTCAGCTAGGGCCTGGAGACTTTACTGGGATCCAAGTCCCATTACCTGTCATGTAGCTTCTGTGTGCTCAGGAATGTGGGAAGATAAACATGACCAGGAAGCAGGGCAGGTGTCCTCCTTGTTTCTTCCCCCTGCAGATCCTGACTATTTGGAGAGCCAAGTTCCAGGTCTTGGCCTGTATCCCTCATTGTTCTCCTTATGTATTTGCTAACCTATCCTCACTGCAATATTTAAATCCATGCAGTACAGCTAAGGAGTTGTGATTGGTCTTTGAAGCTGCCTTGTGTGCTCTGAGGTGATGAATCCTGTCTAGACCATGGCACATAAATACCTTTAAAAGCACACCACTGGATGTTTAAGGGAAGGCTGCAGATTGTGCTTGTTCCTTGCTTCTCCCGTGCCAAGTTTACAAGCCACATCCCTAAAGGGGCTTGTTCTCCCCTGCCTGTTGATCCTCCCTCCCCTGCTGAGAAGGTAGGACATCAGCTGGTCTTCATGTGGGTTGTGAAGCTGTTTCTGCTTGTGTTTATGGAGCATTTTGCAATCTGTAGAAGCAAAGTGATGCAGAAAGGGGAAATGATGTTATTAAGGAATTTGCAGCCATACATTCTGGGGCTCGTTTCTCCTGGGGAGATGCTCCAGTGTGTCTTAACCTGGTGCTGTATCCTAAGGTGCCCTTTGGAGGGTTTTCTGTGTTGCTCGAAACAAAGCACCAGCCAAGGGATGCCTGTATCCTGCTTGCAGAAGACAGCACAATGCATTGACATCCCCTCCTTGTGCCTGCGAGCGAGTGGCCTACAGAGAGTCCCTGACCTTGAAGAGATGGTGAAGAGCTGGGCAATGGGCTCCTTGCTTCAGTTTGCAATCAAAGCTCAAAGCCCCGTGCCCACCTTGCTGACCCCTCTGTTGCCCCAGGGTCAACGTCTATAGGTCAAGAAAGCCCTCTGGAGACAAAGGGGAATTCACCTCTGCACAATGTACAGTGGCACGGTTGCTGTTTGGCTTATCCAAGTGTCTGCTGCCAGAGGACCGGGGCCCCAGTGCAGGCAAGATTGATTTCCTTGGGGCTGGTGCAGGTGATGGAGTCTCAGTTCACATGTGGTTGCAGCTCTCCTGCATCTCGGCCCTTTTGGTCCGCTGTTGCCTTTCCATCGGTGTCCTGAGGATGTTCACCACGTGCTGAGCTGCTGTGCTCAGGACCCAAGGGACAATCCTAGCAGAGACCCCCCTCTTTTTGTTCAAGGCAGCTTTAATGAGGATAAGGACAAGGCTTCCTCCATTCCTAGTGTGTTATCAGCCTGCTTATCTGCAAGGATGCACGCTGCAGTGAGAAAAATCAAGCCTAACAAAACCCCAGCACAACAGGCCAAATCCAGGCCATTAGAAAAGGGGAGGTCCCAGTCCATGGATGGGTTGTTGGAGGGAATTTTGTCTTGGCTTTCCAGTGCTGCCTCCGACACAAGCACCAGCAGGGCCTGAGAGCTCCTGTTTTAAGGAAGAACAAAAGCTACTGAGGTCAGTGTGGGTAAAGGGTTAATTTGGAATGAACCAGGGATGTCTGTCCCACTCCATAGATCCTTAACATCTCCAAGGATGTCTGAGCTGGGTGGCACTGCCCCTGTTTGGATGGGGACCGTCCTATTGCCGCTGCCCTTGTTTCCGTGGCCATGTCAGGGTGACCCTGGCCCGGGTCCAGTGCTGGTGGTGATGTTGTAACCCCTGTAACTCACGGCACGACCTGCTCCGTGGGCTCAGCCACAAGCCCTCGGCCCCGGGGGGTGAAGTCATGGAGGACATGGCAATGTCGTCTCAGGCTGCAACACGCTCGTGCTGACACAGCTCGGCATCACGTGGGCACCGGGATGTGCTGGGCACAGCCGGGATGAAGGCTCTGCCCTGTGCTGGAAGCGCTCTGTCAGCCCCAGGTCCTGCCAATGCAGGGCAGCAAAGCCTGCCTTCGCATCACCAGCGCCTTTCGGCTTGCTCGGTGCTGACGCACCGCTTTGACAAGTGCCTGATGATTTGTGCTGCTGCTCTTCGGGTTTCGCTTTTATTCCTCACAACCTGGAAGCTTTGTCGAGGGCTTAGGCCTGGGTTTGGCTACAGGGTAGAACCACAGAATCAAATGGGTAGGGAAAGACCTTTGAGATGGAGTTCAGCCTTTACCCCAGCACTGCCAAGGCACTGAGGATGTGTGTGAGCACTTGCAGGGATGGTGACTCCAGCCCTGCCCTGGGCAGCCTGTTCCAATGCCTGAGCACCCTCTGGGGCAGGAATTGCTCCTCAGCTCCATCTAAACCTGCCCTGGTGCAGCTTGAGGCCGGTTCCTCTTGCCTATCACTTGTTACTGGGGCTGGAGCAAGGGCAGCTGAATTTGCTCAATAGGAGTCCTTTGCATCACTTGCGGTTCTGCAGGCAGGAGCTTCGCTCAGGCTCAGTGATTCCTCGTGCGGTGAGGCCAGCCTGGCGCCTTCTGCCACTGCTTGACTGGTGGTGGTCCCATCATGGACAGCTTTGGCTGATCCTTCTGGTCCTTCTCCATGTCCCATCATAGACAGCTTTGTCTCATCCTTCAACTTGCTCTGTTGTTGCTCCTGGTTTGCAAGCCTGAGGCTCGTGTCAAGGGAATCCCAGTTCTTGATGCTGAATCAAGCGGAACTTGAAGCAGATCTCCAGGGGTCACCGACTCTCATCAAAGGGTTCTCCAAAGAGCTCTGAATGTTTGCGTCAAGGGACTCGGGGATTCTTCATGGCAAAGAGCCTCTGCTCGGTCCCTCAGCTTGGTGCTGCGCATCCTTGTCACGGCAGTCGGATGAGTCTCCCTGCTTAGACCCGCTCCCGGGAGCATCCCAGTGCCTATGGCTCCCACTGTACTTCGTGGGGTATCCGTGTCCTGCTCAGGTAATCACAAGGAGCTCTTTCTCCTCTCTGCACTCTTTCCTTTTGTTCCATTTACCTCAGGAACAAGCAGCCCGTTCATCCCATGGGAGGCCAGCTGTGCACCACCTACAAACCCCACGTCTGCAGGAGTGACCACGTCCCATCAGCCTCCTCCAGTCAGCAAGGGACCATAACATCACCCTGGGCTTTCCTCTTGCCTTGTGCTGCGCAGAGCTGATCACCAGCTGCAGCCTCACAAGGCCCCTGGGTTGCCAGGAGGAGTAATGAGGACATGGGTGTTCTACTCTTGCAGCAGGCTTTATTGGCTCCTGGGGTTTTTCTGTACACTCAATAGGGTTCAGCTGGGTTTTTATTCACCTGCCTTGCCTTGTGTTGGCAGCTGTGTGCCATGCACCACTGCTTTCTGCTGATACATCAAGTTCCCCAGGTCTGGGAGCTGCTCTCTGCTTTGGTGTGGTCCCAGCACAGCTTCAACCACCATGCCCAGTCACTCAGCCACCCCGGTGTCCTCTGCTGCTTCGAGGATCCCAATGACTTCATTCACCCATGGCCCCTCATTTTCACAT